CAAGCACAATCACATGTTTTCAGCTGGCGTCAGAGTAGCACCCATCACTGCGTCTCCAACATAGGGGTCCAGAATGCGTTCCCACCACAATCTGCACATCCACACATGGCTCCTTTGCTTGCCACAATCGCCAATCAGCACAATTATCAACACCTGGTTGTCTTGAGGGGCATTCTGTGGCCTCCATTCGAAGACGAATTGCTACCACACTCGGAGTGGAACTGGTGCTTGGAGCAGCCAAGGAGCGCCTTGGGTAGATGAATCCCACCGCCTCTGACAGTGTTTGTTCGTACCTTGTACCAACGACGTCTCATTTGTACACACGCTAAATCATTTCGTCTTTAGCAAACATGCTGACTGAACAGGTAAGGGCAACTATCCGGCGTGGCGCCGTGGCAGGCTGTTGTCTGGATGGCTTGGTCTTGTGCTGTGCGTCCCCTCGCCTGGCGTGGGAGCCCTGTCAGTGCAGCCACCAGGTCAGCAACGGGGAAGAAGATAAAGAAACGAAGCAGGCGTGACCGGGAGGAGTGGTTGGGTGGCACCAGGCGCACAGAAGTGGACAGCATGGGTGTGATCGCCTTGCCCCAAAGAGAGTACAGGGGCATCCGCCGGCGCCACGTGCAAAAGCAGGTGGATTTCTGGAGTTCTGCGCAACAGGTTTTTCAACAACGAACAGTATTGTGCAAAACCATTGTGCGGCCAGGTGAACACTGTTTCTGAGGCACCAGAATCCAGGTTAGCGGATGACTCGAGGACATGCTGGCATGGGAGTAATACAGAACAACAAAAACTTTATGCCCCTGCCCTGAGCCCTGCCACTAAGTTGCATGACGGCGGCATACCATCCGCCAGTATTCCATGACCACTCAGACAGCCCAAGCCCACATGTACGTGGGGCCCACCAACCTGGCGCTTGCCAGCACCCCGCTCTGATGATCGCGCCGACGGACTGCATCGCTGGCGCTGCCGCTCACGGCGTGCTGCTGACTCCCACATACGCCAGCCGAATGCTTCGCCACCACTATTGCCCATTGCCTGCTGCTGACTCCCAGATATGGCAGCTGAATGCATCGCCAGCGCTGCTGCTCATGGCCTGCTGCTGACTCTCAAATATGCCAACATTCCGGCGTGGCGCCGTGGCAGGCTGTTGTCTGGCTGGCTTGGTCTTGTGCTGTGCGTCCCCTCGCCTGGCGTGGGAGCCCTGTCAGTGCAGCCACCAGGTTAGCAACAGGGAAGAAGATAAAGAAACGAAGCAGGCGTGACCAGGAGGAGTGGTTGGGTGGCACCAGGCGCACAGAAGTGGACAGCATGGGTGTGATCGCCTTGCCCCAAAGAGAGTACAGGGGCATCCGCCGGCGCCACGTGCAAAAGCAGGCGGTTTTCTGGAGTTCTGCGCAACAGGTTTTTCAACAACGAACAGTATTGTGCAAAACAATTGTGCGGCCAGGTGGACACTGTTTCCGAGGCACCAGAATCCAGGTTAGCAGATAACTCGGGGACATGCTGGCATGGGAATAATACAGAACAACAAAAACTTTATGCCCCTGCCCTGAGCCCTGCCACAAAGTTGCAGGAGGGCGGCATACCATCCGCCAGTATTCCATGACCACTCAGACAGCCCAAGCCCACATGTACGTGGGGCCCACCAACCTGGCGCTTGCCAGCACCCCGCTCTGATGATCGCGCCGACGGACTGCATCGCTGGCGCTGCCGCTCACGGCGTGCTGCTGACTCTCGGGTATGCCGGCTGAACGCTTTGCCAGCACTGCAGCTCATGGCCTGTTGACTCTCAGATATGCCGACTCTCAGGTGTGTTCTGTGGCAGGCTGTTGTCCGGCTCACTTCCTCTGGTGCTGTGTATCCGTTTGCCTGGCGCGGGAGCCCTGTCAGTGCAGCCACCAAGTGAACAATAGGGAAGAAGTTAAAGAAACGAGACAGGCATGATCGTAAGGAGTGGTTGAGTGGGCACCAGGCACACAGCAATGGAGAGCACTGGGTGTGATCCCCCTGTCCCAAAGAGAGCATATGGGCATCAGGCAGCGCCATGTGCAATGCTTGCGGCGTTCTGGAGTTCTCCACGTCGTGTTCTCCGACAACACGCAGTATTGCACGGTCAGGTGAGCGCTGTTTCCGAGGGACCAGAATCCAGGTTAGCGAACAGCTTGGGGACCTGCTGGCAAGGGAAGAACACAGAACAGCAAAAAGTTCATGCCCCTGCCCTGCATCCTGCCACAAAGCTGCAAGAGGGTGGCATTCCATCCGCTAGTGTTCAATGACCACTCAGACAGCACAAGCCCAAATGTACGTGCGGCGCACCAACCTGGTGTTTGCCAGGACCCCGCCCGGATGATCGCGCCGACGGAATGCATCCCCAGCACTGCTGCCCATGGCCTGCTGCTGACTCCCAGATATGCCGGCCCAATGCATCGCCAGCACTGCTGCTCACGGTCGTGTCCGCGCACTCTCGTCGTCTTGCCTTGCTCCCATGGAAATAAGCCAATGCGTGAGTCGGAACGAATGGCACCCCAAGACACACTCTTCACGACTCCGTCACTCGCCTAGTCCCTCAAGTGAGCTGCCGTCCTCCAGTCGTTGCGCGGGCCCCTACTTGCCGACGGCGGCAGCAGCATGGGCGGCGGCACGGGCGGCATGGGCGGCATGGACATCGTCTCGGTGCGCCTTCAACAGGCCCCCAGAGCGGCGGCATGGGCGGCATGGGCATCGTCTTGGAGCGCCTTCGACTGGACCCCAGAGCGGGGACCCCATGCGGCGGTTGGGCCCTGCCGCAGCGCAGGGCGCAGCCGGGACGGCGGGTGCGTTGGGCGGCGGCGTTATGGACCTGGCGAGGACGCCGTGAGTTTGAATAGGCGGGCGCGTTTGAACGAGTTTCTGGCAGGACTGATCGGGGGGGGGATCAAGCGCAGGGGCAGAATGCTGACGTGGTTGATGGGCACCAGCAACTTAGCGGACTGGATATAGTATTGTCCCTCGCCTCCTCGCCCCGACCAGCCCGGAAGTGCCGCGCGCTCCCCTCCACGGGCCCCCGCCCTGCCATGGCCTCGGCCTCCTGCGCCATCTCGGTCGGCCCCCGCGCGCCGTGCCGGTGCCCGTGCCCGGCGGGATCTCGGGCATCGGGCCGTCCCACCCTGCCCGGCCGGAGCCAGTCGTCGGAGGGGCATGGGCGGCGGTGGCGGAGGCTGACGGTCGCGGCGGAGGAGGCGGGCAGCGAGGTGGGGAATCGAATGCGTGGGCGGTGTGCGCGGCGGGTCTGGCAATTTCCTTTTTGGTTTTGTGAAAATCGACTCAGTGGCGGGTGAGCAGTTTTGAATGGAGCCCATCGGGGTGGGCGGAGGTTGGGGGGGGGGGGGAGAGGATTTGTTCCAAAGAGAGAAAGAAAGAGGTCCGCGCAGAGGGCATCCCCCTCCCATGCGCACTTGCATGCGAGACTCTTCCGTGCTGTGGAAAGATGGGATAGAGGCCCCGGTGCGAAATGATGCACGCAGCGCCGGCGCTGTGGCGGGCCGGGGGTGAGAATTTTTGGCGGAGGGGCCTGCGTCGGAGATTTGTTGACATATCGGCAGTAAGGCAGGTCATGCGAAGGGCGCCCGCTCCCGAGCAGTTGTGCGGGAGACTTGTTCCACCTTGCGAACGGATGATGCGGGGTCTCCCGGTTCGAAATGGTGGGAGGGACCGGAGTGGGGATCCGAGGGTGCACGGCCGGGATTGCGGTTGTGACTGGCCGGGCGTTTGATGGGCTGGGCTGGGCGAGGTGCTATGGCGAGCATCGCGCGCAGACGAGCCCGGGAAAGGGGCAAGAGTGAAGAGGAGAGGGTGGGGGGGAGATTGCAGCCCCTGTGGTTTGCGTTGCTCGCTGGTTTTGGTAGGGGGAATTGGATAGCAGGGTAGGTGGGAAGCCCCCGCGCGAGCGCGCTGTGGCGTTTTGGGAGAAGAGCGCTGGAGAGGCAGGTGCTCGCGACTTTGCATGGAATGATTTGTCCTGAAGGAACATGTCGTTTTGCACCCACCTCCTGTGCAAAATTGCGTCTGAGAGTTTCTTGGCCTTCCATGAAAGATATGGAAGGCTGCAAGTGCACAAGGGAAGCACACAATGTAGAGCGGCAATGGAAGAGCAGCATGTATGGCATTGGGGAATGTAGGCTTGGGGTTGGGGTGAGACATAATGGTCAGGCGTGGGATCAACCATTTTTCTCCACAGTTGAGGAGATTTAGGTGGGATGAGGGGTGAGCAAGGTGGCGCGTCGCTTAATGGCTCAGTGACTTTCCCAAAGTCATGTTACACTTCATGATGTATTGTTAGAATTGTGATACACAGCTATATAATGTGGCGGCATGGTGGGTCCCACGTGGATGCACGAGTGCATGCCCGAGGTGTGGCACAGGAATCTCATTGGTATTAGGGTGTTTAAAGTTTATGCAGAGGTGCACAAGTCTCCATGTCCAGAGTGGCAGATGCTCTAGGAAATGTGCAGATGCCGGCTAAACCATGGAGGTCCCCGTCAGTGGCAATGTGTTGCCCCTGTCCACAGAACATTCCTACCGCAATCCCCACATGAAACAAACAGGGGAAGCCTAGGCTGTGTCTATGGCAGTGATCAGTGTCAAACACAGTTGCTGATCTTTCATGTTATTGGTTTTGCTGGGGATCAAGGCTGAAATTGAGGAATAATTCCAGGGAGCAGTGATGGAATTGGACAGTGACGTGCAAAGAGTCGTTATGTGTCCAACCAGCCAAGGGATGCCTCTCACTTGCTGCTGCCCTGTGAAGAAAGCAAGTCAAGCTTCGCATCCATCCACACACAGGGTTTGCTGCACATTGCAGCTCTGTGGCTTTAACGATTGTGTTCCTTTTACCTATAAAATTTTGATCAGCTGATTGATTGATCAGTAGACAGACCAACATATTGGTTCCTTAATCAACGAGGTGGATCATTAACTGCAGAGTTTTTTTTGCTGATCTGTGCCAAAACTGTGGGCTGCAGGAGGCACCAGCGGTGGAAGAGGAAACCCCGGATGTAATGCCCAGCAGTCAGGGAGAGTCTGCCATTGGCGCATTCTTTGGGAACTACCTACAGCTTGCGGTGTGGGCAGCCGTCCTTGGCCTGGCAGGATACACAGCAGTGCAGAAGGTATGCTTTCAGCAGGCAGCACCTGTCGTCCCCGTTGCTGTGCAGCTATGGGCGAGTCGAGACACTACTGCACTTCTCTCAGCAGTCCTGGCATAAAGGGTCCTGGTATTGTTGTGCTTGTTGGCAGAACATGTGAACAACACAGAGCACTACAATTTTGCATGCAATGTGTTGGAATCAAAAAAAGGATTTAGAAAACACAAGCCAATGTAATGCTAGCATCAAGTACATCTTCGGACTGTGGCCAGTCTTGTTTGAATGCAAGTGCCTTGGCAGGCCCAGCTTGTTTATGCTTACCAGCATCAAAACCTGCCGTCCAGGCCATAATAATAGATTGTACATTATGCAAAATTATTACACAAAATTATGAACGTAAAATTCCATTTGCTCTGGGTGCCGACAAGAGCTGTGGAGCTGGATTTCTCAAGGGTCTTAACCTCTGACATCCACCGATTTTCGGCGTGTGACAGTGGAGATCAAGGCATCCAAGACGTTCCCTGCCTATGCGATCAAATTGGGGTTTCTTCCCGATGTGCCACTGCCCCTCTGGTCCCCCTTTCCCCGCTGTTTGTTTACTTATTTTGTGTAACAAATCTTAGCTGCGGGCCCCCACCACCCACTTTGGAGGGCAACAGGCACCCCTGATTCCCACCAAGGCCCCCACCTGCCTGCCGATATCGATGTCAAAACCGGTGGGGTGGCCAGGGGGACCAGGACCCTGTTCATGCCAGTGGAGGTTGAGCCTTGTCTCAGATGCCTTGGCAGAGGCTGTTGCAGAGTTGCTGTAGATTGGAACAGGAATCTGAAGCACAGGTGTTGTGGCCAACTTGTGAGAATTGCTGCGATCGTGCAGCCCCGATGGCAAATTTTTGTGCTTCCAGATCGGAACGCAACTCCTGGTGTGTCGTGTTACTAAACGATCCAGTGAAGGAGGATTTTCACAGTGCCCATACATCTCAAAATCTGTGTCAGAAGAGTTGTGTCCCAAATTAAATGTGGCATTAAGCAGATGGCGTATCGTATTATTATGATACACTCAGTGTATCACTGAAATCTAGCTATTGTGCTGCATGACATTTGTCAATAGAAATTTTGTGTGGGTATTCGTGCGGATTTCACACACCCTGACAGCATTTTATGTTGCTTCGCGGCAGATCGGGACAGACCCCGAGTCCTTGGGCATCCTGGTCGGCCCCCCCGCCGTGGCCACCGTCCTGATCGTCACATTTGCCATCTACAAGTTGACATCCGAAAGTGAAGACTGACTTGGCAGCACTGTGAAGATCCAGGCAGTGCGCGACTTGCATGCGTTGAAAGTGGGTGCCCAAGCATGGTTGGCAAAGGGTGCACCTGGGCAGATGCGATTCTGGGCATGGACTTGTAATGCCAGAGGACAAGCCGTGCATGGAGGTGAAGAGAACAGAGCACTTTTCGAATCCTCTTGGCAAGCATGCTGCTGATAATGTTGCTTGCATACTGGAACCACACCTGGCACACTTGCTGAAAGGCAAAGGCTGGCAAGGGGGAAACACGGTTCGAAATCAGTGGTGGTGTTGGGATTGGCGATCATATGACAAGTGGGGTCTTGTGGGTTGCCCTTGGGTGTGGTGTTCGGCACCTGCGGCCAGTGCATGTCACAGTGCTGGCAAAGCTGATGCCAGCAGGCAGGGGCCGGCAGTGGCAATCACCGGGATAGTTGGAGGATGTTGAGGGGGTAGTCGGGTGGGCGACGCCCCAACGAATGCCATCATTTTTGGTCCAACGGGTGAGAACAAATTCGCAACGCAGGAGATCGGAAATTGAGTTTGTGTAAATTTTGTGCCAGTTTGGGTTCTCGCGGTGTGGTGTGTACCGCACTGGTGTGTGCACCACCTGACGTTAATGGCAATATGACAAATAATGGAAAATAATGACAAGAACGGCAAATATAATGGCAAAAACACTATTGCCTCCAGTGTCCTGCGTGATGGCTGACGCGCTATCGAGCACGCACGGCCCCCACAGCAACCTGCAGTAGCTCGGGGCCCTTCCGCCTGTCCATCCCCTCATTATCCCACCATGCGCCAATCGTTGGTTTGGAAGCCGGTGAGAGACAACACACAGAGCTGCGTTGATCATCAAAAGCCGTCGCCCATCACATGGCAGCTGCTGTCATGGGTCGTGCCCTCATTACCACGAATTTCATTCGCGTGAAATATGACGAATTCAGGTTGCGATAAGCCTTCACTCAAGGGCCTTCCTTCCCACGTTTCCGACGTAGCCAGGAAGCTATAACAACTGACAGCCCTGCTGCCGCCCTCGTCAAGCAATTGCTGTGTTACACCCCTCGCTTTGCCCCTCGTCCTTGCAGCTGCGTCAAGCACTGCACTCTGTATGCTGCCTCCTCCACCACCCGTGTGTCAGTGATCAAGCATTGCGATACGATAAGCATCGCTTGCCTGGAATTCATGCCAACACCGTGGTGCAAGGGCGGTGTTTTGTCTTGTTTGTGTGACAAAATGTAATAAAACGATTTGATCCCCCTGAGGATCCACCATGCCACTGTCCTTCACGAGGCTCCACAGCACTGCCTGGCGCCCCTTGTTCGCTTCCCTGTGAGCAGTGTCGATGGCTCCCGAGGTGCCTTCCCGGCCGGTGCGCCAAACTGCGTGAGAAGGCCGCTCCATCTCAAGGCCATGTTCCGGTACTCGAGGGGCAGTACTCAAGTCCCTCAGGGGGCAAAGAGGCCCTTTCCCCATGCCTGTGAGGTAGGTGGCTGTTAGGGTTGCCAATTATCGGTTACATTAAAAATGAATGATTATGACCACCACATGAGCTGGCGCCCCTTGCGGTCCAGAATTCAGTGATTAGGCCATGCAAAAAGCGCCAGCACAAGTTGTAATGATGGTGAACATGATGTTGACAATGACGCCAAAAGAGGGAAACTATATCACTGCACCCAATCAACGAAAATGTCAACGCAATCATGCGCCAGCAGTGTGCTGACGTTCGAGGGGCTGCGTATTGCCAAAATGCGTCATTTTTTAAAGCGACATGCCATGTGCTGGCTTTAGCAAAGGGCAAAGAAAACATCAACATGGCGATACAGGTGCACCAAGCCAAGAGTGCAAAATGACGTGTTAGGCAATTTTGGGGGAAATTGGAGCAATGCACATGATTGCACAGGAATGGCCAAGCAGAATTGTTGGACCAATGGATGCATGACAGAAGGGGATGCAGCATTGGGAATCAGTTCATCGGCAGCATGGACAGCAAACGTCATTATTGGCCATTAAAGCCATGCACCAGAGCAGCGAAATACGCAAGCAGTTGCGTACATGTACCACATCATTGCGTTGAATTCAAAATTCAGGTGCGACTCAAGACATGATGCCCAAACTCATTGATAAGCAAATGAGTCAAGACATCGATATTATGCATGTGCGGCTCCTCAACGACAGCTGTGAGTAGGGCTGTCTGAATCGGCATGGGCTACAAGTTACACTGGCAGAAAGCGGCATGTTTGCGATGCCGACTGCGATGCCATTTTGGCACAAAGCGATGCCGTCACAGTAATGGCGATGGCACAAAGGCGGCTGCGATGGCATCAATTTGTGCCAAATGGCATCACAATTGGCATCGCAAAAACAGGCTATTTTCTACTGGCGTTAAGATGATGTAAAAAATGATCCAGAATGGGCCGCATATAGCGGCTGGTAATGGCCTACAAATTGGGATGCCTGTTCGGGGATAGCACGTGCTCAGGGGGCATCTGATGTTGACTCCCAAAAGTGGCATGACATTTCACGATCAATGCAGATTTGGTGTGTTGACGTGCATGATGTTTCGAGGGGCTATTTTGTGTGGCTGCCGCGACATGTGCAGCGTCACAAGGTCGCGCTGCCCGATGCTGGAGGGGATGCAGCGGAACGAACGACAGTTTGCAGAGCTGCGCCCACCCTGTTGGCGTCCTCTTGTTGCGCTGCCTTTGCACACAGGGCGTGGCGTGTAGCCCCACCAGTTTGGCTTCATGGCCAGTGGTTTTCGGTCTCAGACGTTCGGATTTCGGCGTGGTGCCCGCATAGCATGCTCGCCGTTCGATCTGCATGGGTTTACGAGTGAATCTGTGGGAGTCGCTGGGGGTTCTGCCAGCGTTTCTGTCCGTATCCTGTCCTTTTGCAAGCGCCTTAATGTCCACAACCCATGAGCTGTTTGTGGCCGGTTTGTGGAGCTGAATCGCAAAGTGACCGGATTCGCTGCCTTTTGCAGCGCTCCTCAACCGCTCTGGGGTAGGGGACAGGCGAATGTTTTTGAAGACTTTCACTGCGCTCTCCGGAGGGTCCATGGCCAGAATGGACCATGGCCTTTTACTTTAGAAAACTGTGAGGAAGCAACAGGTTAGTTGAACAGGCTGAGTGGATGGACGATTAGTTTGGTTTCTCACTTCGAATGTCCCAGCGCAATTTAATTTCTGGCTGTACGCGCCCCAATCCACAGGAACTAGCGGCACACGGATCCGGTACTTGATGAAAAGTCTTGCTGGAGCACGGACATTAGCCATTCGAGATGTGTTCAACCTTAGAAGAGGGGCGGCCGCTCCGGGATACATTCTCCGTGGCAGTTCTTTGGCCACTTTGGCCGTCCAGATCTCTGCATCTTTCCGACGAGTGACAAGCCGCCCGCTACACTGACCACCAGCAGGTCGGCCAGGCTGTTCGGGTTGTCGTTTATCACCATCGCCATGGCAAATTTGCCGGGCACGTCGGCCTCGTTTCAACAAAGGGCAAGGCGAAGTCGCGGACCAGAGCGATGGCCAGCAGGTGGTACACCGCGAAGAGGGCGCTGGCGAGGACGAAAAGACGACCACCTTCTCCTCATCGAGTCCCATGTCCGCATGTGCGCCTCTTCCTTGTCAACCTCCTTCTGTCTGAATCCTCCAGCTCGTGTAACGACCGCAAAACACAAGCTGACTGCATACTGTGGGGGAAGTTCTGTTGCACAGCAGAAGTGCACCGCACGCGTGCTCGGGTGGTGGCACCAGCAGAGAACACCATGTTCGCGATGCTATGTAAGACGTCATTTTGACACAAGAGGTGCCATCGCAGTGACTGCGAAGGCATAAAAGAAGCTGCGCTGGCCTCAATTAGTGTCAAATGGCATCGCAGCTGCCACCTCCTAAAATCCTTTTTCTACTGCTGTAGATAGCGCTGCCCTCGCCTTCTTCCTCTGCACAGGGCCTGGACCCCACCGCCACGTCTTCCGGTAGCCCCACAAAGGGGTAGGACATTATCCACGTGTGGAAGCTGTACTGGGACTCCACCACCCAGCTGCCCTCAGTCAGATCACAGTCCTCCCGTTCGGCCTCTTCCTGTGCATCACCGTAGACCACCCAATCATACAGCACCATACAATATCGTAGATGGCATCTTATCGCGCTGGTCGGGCCGCAGCTGGGACACGAATGCGTTGGCATGCGGATCCTGCGCCTCGAGGAGCCGCTCCCAGCAGCGCTCACCCGCTCATGCTCCCCCGAGCACTCATCGACCCGCTCTTCCGGCAGGCCTGCGTTGACCACCGCTTTGTGAAGCGACTCAGGGTCGCTCCCCATCAACTAACACACGGTGTTGAAGTAACGCTGCCAATCGAGCCCGTGCTCCTCCGTGAAGTCCAGCTCGCTCCCCGGCGGGATCCGTGCATGTCGAATGTGGTTGGTGGGAGCGAACGCATATGGGATCCTGCGTATCAAATCGATTGATGATTCACGCGCATCGGGCTTGCAAAAGAGCATTACTTGATTTTACATCCATTATTCGCTTGCGGACAAAAGGGCGATGGCACTTGCTTTTTTGTCTTTCCCCTCACTGGTAATCACAAGTGCGCAGTGCGCATCCGCATCAAGAAAGCAAGTCACAGTCAGGGCCCTAACTGGCCTGACTGGGACTCAGGGACAGAATCCCTGAATTGGACTAACAGGCCCAACTGGCATTGGCTCCAGCCGGCAGCGCAAGCGAACTATGCCTGGTGCGCTGAACCATGGCAGTCACCCCTGACTGCCTAGTGGTGGCAGCAAGTGCGACCCTGTCAGACGGAGGCAGCGCACCTGCTCTGAATACCTGGATTGCCCTCATAGGGCGGGCGCAGCATGCGTTGGTGCGCGGGTACCATCGACTGGATTCAGGGCCGTCTGGGCAAGTAAGGGACAGTTAGGTGCAGTAAACGATTCTGCCCTCGAATTCCGGTCATCCCAGTCAGAACACTAACACTGACTTGTGCAAGTCAAGAAAAT